TATATTGGTACGATGTGGTCGGATAAATGCCAATATCGAGGCATGGGTTATGAATCCATCATATAACCCAATTTCCAGCAGCCCCGCCATCTATCATATCATGTGGACGCGTGTCCCCTGTCCGACGATCCATTTCAACTCTACTGTCCTTTCTAGCGGTTTTCAATGTCATTTCTATGGAAAATATCAACCCAGCCTCAACGAGAAATGCAGAAGATCTAGGTTTAAGGGCGAGTTCTTGCTGTATCATCATGACCGTCCACTCAATCTAGAGACATATTCCCAGTGGTAGCATTCGTGAGCCTGATTTTTGGCGGGAAATTGCATAGATTTGACAATGACGTAGTCTGGCATGGGCTTCAACCTTTAGAAATTGCATGGCCAAATGACACGTGGCAACAAGTCTGGTTGATTCAGAAGCGAAGACAATAATGTTGTAGATTCTCTTTGGGTCTATCGAAAAAATGACGCTCGCTCTAGCTAGGAACCGCATCTATGTACAGAGTATGTATCAATGTTCAAGTACCTCATTTGGAAGAATCGCAGTTGTACTGAAACTTACTTGGTTGTATAGCTTATATTATCGTAGTACGTTACTTATCCAAGTCTGGCGTGTGTTCATGGCGTAGCGGTAGCGTGTTCGGCCCAGGCCCAAGAGGTCCTGGGTTCGAGTCCTACCCGGTGTCACCGATCTTGTGCCCTTGGGAAAGGCACTTCAACACGACTTTCCTCACTTCACTCAGGTAGAAATGAGTCTGGTCTCAGGTTTGACATCTTGAAGAGGTGATATTCACCTGTTATGTCAATCCTTCCACAAATGTGGTAAATCTAAATCTTCATTTAAAAAAGTCTATTCTGAAAGGTAAACGTTAATATGTTACAGTCCGATGAACAATGGACGCGATAAAGGTTTTAGTACAGACAATAACGTATTTTCCTCACGTCTTCCTCTTCTCAACCATCGAACCAAAACTTTCCAACGCGGCTGAAGCGCTCCAAACTTTTTCTACTTTCGTCAATTGCTCGTAACGGACGGGCGGTATAAGGGAGAAGGCGGCACCGGTGTGTTCCGTGTCCCCTGCCGTGCGAGGTGCGCCTGAGAATACAAAATGGGCGAGGAGAAATGGAGAATGAACGGACTGAGATCGGCTCCAGTAAGCTCTGCCGAATGAGATCACCGTGGGTAGTTTGGTAGAGCGGTAATGAGCAAAATAAAAGGCTTCTGCTGAGCAAGAATCTGCTAGATTGCAATTACGAACACTCTCCACGGTCTCCCGGCTTTCCCGGAATTTCTGAAAAAGTACAGTTCGCATTAATTATGATCTATTCCTTTGGAATCCGAGATGAGAGCTGGCAAGTCTTCAAATGATTCTCTCACTGAATCTGAATACAGCCATGTCACTTCTTTAGAAGATCTCCTTTCTTTACATGGCACGCGGCAGTGCCTTAGGCATGAGTAGTGCTTTTGATACCATCTGCAGTGAAGCTGCCAAGACGCTATTGTAACGTCGCTGTTCCAAGCCCAGGGATTACGCTCATGAAAACGGAGAGATAAGCCTGGAACAATTTTCTTATTCTTTTTAACACATCATACTCCGCCTGGACGGCATCTAATCGCTCTGAAGGATTTTGAAAACGACGTCGGTTGTGATGTAAAATAAGAGCGATGTCCTGAAGGCAATTCTTTTGACACAGGTACCGTGATGACGTGAGGGGAATGAGTGATTAAGAAGTTTGCCGTTCACAAGTAGACTGGTGCAAATTATTCAGGGTCTGAAACCAGCACACTCTGGCACTTTTTAACGGGTATGATGAATAGACGGATAACTTAACGGTGAGTAATTTGGTCGAAAGGCCAAAGTTTGAATGACACAAGTGGAAGCTACAGTTGTGATTGAAAGCTCATAAAGAAGACATCGTTTGAACGGTGCCATTTGTCATCCAGGGACTCATTTCGGCGAGGAGATTATTTCTACCGGGCTAGGATTGATGAGGCTGGAAAACAAGAGCAACAAAGGTCAGCAAAAGGAGGGAATTGTCGTGAAGATAGCAAAGAAACTTAAGTGTTTCTGACGCATGACTTCCTACCATGACCTTTTGTCAATGCAGAGTTTACCATTCAAAGCTTTGTTGATCTTTGGTTAGCCAGGCGAACATAGTCACAATACTTATTCATGAAAGTGCTATCACGACTGCTGGTATTACTCCAAACCATTTTTAACCGTCTCGCTGTACTAATAATCATGTAGTCGTGCATAGCAACGTAAAAAAATTTATATGGTGAGCTCCAAGAAAAATGTGCATGAAATTCGGTATACCGCTATCTGAGACCTTCATGTCACCACTGGGCACCAGGAATCAGCAGGACCCGGCAATCAAGCCGTTGGGTTCGATTAAACAGTCGGTGATAGATGGCGGAGGGACGGGCCGACTCATGATGAGACGAGCGGTACGGAGAGAGGACAGCTCCGGTTAACCTCGCGATCAGTCTTCACAGACACAACTGGTCCACAGTGTGAACGCCTGCTGTTTGTAGAGTCAGGTTGTCCCACGTGAGTCTGTCTTCCCGACTGTTTCATGACAAAAAGATGACCTCACATGAAACAAAGACTCCATAGCTCTCTCTAGGAATGCTCTTGAGTCCACGTATTTCTATCAATCACAGAGAATACCATAATGTCCCATTGAAAGAATCAAAGAATCTACACTCGCTACCTAAAAAGGAAAATAAAACAAGACTGACATTCACGGGATTTGTAATATTTACCGTTTTACAAATTAACAAAACTGCATGGTTCTAAGCTTGGAACCTGAACAAGTAGTTCCCGATAAAAGCTATGTATATACGTACAACTTTCGGGGCGACCCCTTTGCAGGCAATTGTCTACTAGTTAATGCTGGGTTTCTAGAGTTGCGCAGCAGGTAGTTAATCATTTCTTGTCAACGATCTATCTTGGCCTTGGGTGGCGCAGTGGAACTTGTGCAGACAACGTGAGACTTTTTCTCTTCCCTAATCGCCTCTCCCAAATGGCCATGAAAAGTTACCTCACGGGTAAATACCTCATTATCCTCATACAGGTCTCCTTTTGATGGATTAAACAAAGTCCAGATTACTGGGTCGTGTTCCCCTTGGAGCTCAATCAGGGGCACATCGTGATCCATCATGGACGACCAGAAGGTCACCTGAATGGAAATGTTGTCCCGCTTCTAATCATACATTTTACTTCACTAACACCTTGAGGAGATGGTTGCATTGTGTTATCAGTACTGGCGGGACAACAATTAGAACATGGAATTATCATGTCAGGGAGAAAGACAGCCACAGTACTGCTAACACAAACGATAAAACGGAATGCAACAGTAAAAATTCCAAACTTACAGAAATTGTGAACATTGGCACACTTTATCGAGTATTTCTCAAACAAATGTATCGACTGAATGGCTTATACATCAACAGCGTCTCGACATCAGGTCAGAAAGAAGCGTTCGTCTGGCGTACGAACGTAAACCAGTCACTTGAGTAGGTACTCGTGTAGAAGGGTGACCATATAGAGCCACAGATAATACAGTGCATAGGAGAGACATCTTTTTAGATCAAGGTTTGGTTCTCATTTCCAGTATTGAAAGACGTAAACGTTCTCTTGTTATCAGCCACTGCAGCCAATCAGTAAACCCAGCTGAACTGTAGCCTGCCATTAGCCACCGTACGTCAAGCGGTAATGGAGCAGATTACCATCCGCGATAACAGTCAACTGTATATAGCTAGCTTTTGGAGAAGACAAAAATACGAACATCAGGGAAACTTTGTATTTTGTGGCAATGAATCACTGGCGAAACAGATCATTACAAGGGTTAGCAAAGGCAGAACTAAACTTTAGTGAATAATTATTTCACAGGAAGGAATGCTTTAGCTTTGGTGATGCCTCTGCCCTAGCGCAAACTAGTGATGTCAATGAAATCATATTTCCGCTGCTGGATGGCTCCACCGCTATCACCCGGGATGCTGTAGTAGTTTCCTCACGTTTGCACAGGGGCACATTTTGCAGTTGATCCATTTGTTCGGCCGCTCCAGGGACGTCCCAGGGCTTCCCACAGACCGCAGAGCTGCTGGCATTGTTCCAATATCACCATTCCGGGATTAGGCACAGCGTCATGCAGACTGTACTTCTGAAGGGATATCTGTAACGTACGTGCCCATGCGACACTCATGCACACACGGACACCCTATACTGATACGCACTAGTATTGCCAATAGATAGTTACGGAATCAAAACATTATTCGTCTTATACACAACTAAAAGACGTTACCGGTATCTTCAACGTTACGAAGTAAGGTCGTACGTTCTGACCACTTTATTTATGAAAAGAGACCACACGGAGATAAAAAAAATGTTTTATAATGAACGGCGTCGAATTCGAAAGTGTTTCAATGGTCAAACATAGAATGTTCAAACTTTTACAATACGTCTGTGGAACAACTTTTGCCTCCGCATTTAGTTACTAGCCATGTTTTTCCAGAGATAGAGTCAAACAGAACGATTATTCACGCCATAGTCTACTCCATTGGAGCTCACTTAATTAGTGACATTCGCACCACTGATAAGAAGTGATGAGTTGAACGTCCGTGAATCATTTTGACAATTGAAGTAGAACAAAGCGCAGAGCGTGCACTATCAATCACTTCCAAACAGGCAGGGATCAGGAGAGAAAAAGCAACATACCGCCATGTTTAACCGTATGTATAATCCCCCTAATTATTAAAAGTTCTGAATATTAGGGACCTCCCAAAATTGCTGAATGTTAGGGACCTCCAAAAATTTCCTTTAAAGTGGACGCAGCGCCACCCAACGGAATGTTGCAGGACGACAGGCACCCCACCAATTTGGTTTTGGAATTCAATGCATTTCATGGCCACCTACCTGTTCATGGGGTCTGTAAAAGTGTTAAGACTATATTATGTACAAGCTAGTATTTGAAGCCACAAACATGTACGACTCAACTTGTTTGGAGTTTTTTTTGCACATTTAATTCTCTGAAGTTCTGTTGGATAATATTAACCTAGTAACTTCCCATTTCTTCTCTTCCAAAGGACCTTTAGCATCTTCTGGAAGATAAAAATAACCCTGACAGTAACAATCACATATCTTAGGACTCATTCTAATCACATACTAGTAACATGTGTACAACAAAATACCATCAATACAAAACAGTACAAATTACCATATAAATAAGGATTTGGTTGCAATTATAATCACTGTACATAAATCAATACAATCCGCATATATCTTTCACATCACAGTATCATAATTGGGTACCAAAGCACAGCGACAATTACACTAACAAGTACCCAACAAACAAACAAACAAAACAGTTTATATCACTAGAGTCCCGTTTTCAGCACTAATTTAACAGTAAATGCTTGATGCCAGTCAAGGATATAACATGTACACATAACTCGGCGGGTCTGGATCAGATCACAGGGCTCAAAATACTTTTTTCTGCATACCTGCACTGGTGCAGGTAACATTGAAAATTACCTGTACCTGACAAATTTTACCTGCACCACTCACACTTTGGGAAGTATGGATCATACTAAAACTGTTCACAAACCATTGCCATTATTTCTTTTATACTTCATAGGTGGTTAAAGTGAATGGAGCAAATAAAAATCTGCATACACCTACATTTGTATATGAACCCAGCACATGGGCCAGCTCAGATTAGGTGCACCCTGACATCAGAAACTGTACCGGCACAGCTGCAGTTTTACCTGCACTAAGGTGCATATGCACCCAGTATTTCAAGCCCTGGATCATGAGGTCTGTATACAGTGCATCATCTTGTGTTAATGTTTGGTTCTTACATCATATAGGACTTGGTACATCAGAGCCATTGGTTATAATGTAAAATTTGGTCTTTGTAAGAGATAGTAGATCTCCAACAGCTGCTTACATCTATACAAGGGAGAAAATACAGTCTGCAAAAAGTGCACCAACTAACTATGTACAAGTTTACATTCTACACTGCATACATTAAGTACAGTGGGGGACCAGGGATATGTTTATCGAAAGAAGGGAGCACACAGTTGTGTACTCGCTATACATGAGTATAGTGCCCCTGCATGGAACAGTTTAATGTTAGGTAACATACGTCATTTGGGGCTTGCTACTATACTGATGCCATACCAAGGAACAGGCATTCATTTCTCAACTTACTAATAGTAATACAACACTTTGCTTGAATATAGATTGTAATGCCTAGGCACATAATACCAGTGGCATAACAATTTAGCAGTCACTTCTAAGTTGTACAACAGAATCTCACTATATTTCAAAGTAAGTACAGTTAACTGTAGCTGAACGTTTTACAATCAGTACTGGTACAGAAGCCCCTTAGTAATAAATTACAGTATGTTCACTTAACTTGCACTGGCATTTACCAAGACTGTTACCCAGTATATGTTTTCCACAGTAAATCTGTGAAGCAAATTGACCTACAATGTGTGGTACATGATGTCATGATCAAGCAGATGTTACAAGCAAATCATTATGATCAAAACAACTGTTACACTATTTTGAAACCAAACCAAACAAACAAAACTAAACCATTGTCTTGCAGCAATATATTTCCACGAGCTTAGTGCAAGGTTGAGGTAAAGATAGTTGTAGTTAAGGAATGTTAGTTTTGGTCCTGCATTTTAAAGTCAACTGCACTGAGTACTTCACAACATACTTGGAGCAAACTAACCACTAACATTACTTTGGCAGAGTTTCTAGACTAAAGCTTAAAAACATCCCTTCACTAAAACATTTAAAACAACTGTACAGCATCAACACGTAGAAGCAAATTGATCCCACTCAAATCATACTACGTCTTCATAACTGCACCAAAGCACACTAGAACAAATGTGGCTGCATTTACTTGTGTACATCAATACTGGTGCACCTCTGCACCCAGGAACATAGCACATTCCCACTGGCCATTATCAAACAGCATCATATTTCCTGTAGCACTGGTATTCAGACTTAATATGACTGAAGTGTATGACATATCCTACCATAAAAAAATACAATGTAAACTGACTGTTTGTGCATGCTCTACAGAACTTTGGGTACTTTTACTGCGGATATTCTCAAAAACTTTTTCTGATTACAACCAGCCTTTTCTGTGTGAAGAAGAATTGACTACCCATGATCTAAAGCAATGCACATACTGATGAAGCCTAAGTTAAAGGATTCATCACTGACATGACAATGATTTCCAATTGCTACATGTACACCACCCGTTATAAATGGTCTCAAAACATTTCTGCTTCTTTGAGCATTTGGCTTGACAAATTGACTTTGGAAAATAGATGTAAGACTAAGGAGCCTAACCACCTCCACACCTCCTACATGTATGTGTGGCACTTCACCATGTCAGTACTCCCTTATCCCTTGACGAGTACAACATGTAGCCAAAGGCTACCTTAGCATGGGATGGTTAACCACAGACTCCCAGCTGGCAATCAGGTGGTTTCATACTATTTTACTTTCAGTGATACTGCAATAAGCATTGAGCCTCTGATGATGTCTTACTCACTCAACAGCAATGGAACAATAATTGGACCATAATTTTTTTTGCAACAAAATTTTCTTCTATTAAGGACTACTATCCCTTTTAAACAGTGATAGCATACATATATGTCAACATGTATGCACATGTTCATCTCTGTTCTTAGTTCCTAGCCATGTTATATGTAGCTATAATGTATCATTCCCAGCCACCTTTCTGTACTAGTTCTAAATATCAACAATCATTAAAACAATGAGACAAACAAACCAATAGAATTACATCTAGGCTCATAGTTTCTCTTGGCCCATGAAAAGTACCTTCTAAAAGAATCCAACAACATCCCAACTGCAGTGATGTGTTTGTCATCTGAACACCTCCTTATCAAGATACAACAGGGAAGGCATTGCAGCGTCACTCAGCCTCCGCCGCGTCTATAACTCGTCGTCCGAGCTGAGCAGCATTGTCTTCTCGTTGGTGGACGAGGAGCGCCCGAAGTGGCCGCCGTTGCGAGGCTTGTCCAGTTCCTTGTCGGAGGTGCTCTGCTGCGTGTACTGCTGGTAGGCCGGCGAGAAGTTGTGCACAGTGTCCTGGATCACGTCGTTGGGGTTCATGGTGTCACGCAGACTGCTGGAGATACTCTTCATGGGCTCTCGGCGCTCAAGGTCATGTTGGTCATCTGTGTACACCTACAGAATACAGGCACATTTGTACGCAGGTTAGTTGGGCTGGAATATTTGACATTATGCAAGCATGACAGCCATAATCAAATTACAAGGGACAGAAGATAGTGTGTTCTTGTTACATTCACTTCACATCCAGGAAGGCATCAACTTGCAACCACTTCATTGCGAGATGATGAAAACTACTTCTTTCCTGGTAATAGATTTGCATTAGGATAAAAACTTTTTGTAATGTTTCAAAGAGCAAATTAGATGTCATCCTACAAAAAGCAGAAACTGTTTCACATCCCGAAGCAGGGTACTCACATTGTGAGGGAAGGCATAGCGTAGCGCGATGGCGGCAAAGAACATCTCGATGCAGATGAAGAAGTTCTGCCAGCCGGCGGCCACGGTGCCGGTCCCGATGCGCTCCTTCCCGTTCTCCGAGTAGATGGGGCTGATGATGTCCACAGTCTCAAAGATGGCCAGCAGGACAGCTGTACGACCAAAACATACTCATGAATTTCAAGTGAAAAACTGATCTATCTGTTTATCTCATTTCTCCAGAGGAACACCCTCCCTTGACTCCAGTCTTTTTGTAATTGGTTTCAATGTACCAATCTGTACATATCATCAAGAAATATCACATACAGATACATATACTGTAGTCAAATACATATACACAAGATCTACTTCAGGCATTAGTAGCAGTGCTCCTCTGATGTTTTCTATTTGCCTTCGACATGCAAAGTTAGGCAACTACAACAATCAGTGAGAAGATTCTCACTCACAACTAAAAGGTGCACAAGCTTCCCTAACTGTACAGTATTTATATAACATGCAGCTTGTGCTGTAAAAAAAAAAAGCAATGGCAGACTTTACCCACTCATAAGATGGTGAGTACCTTTTGGCAGAACATGACGGCACTGCAGAAACAAAGACAAGCCAAAAACAACACTCCAATCCTTGTGGTGAAATAAGAAGTTAGATTTAGAACTGTCACCCTGGTGATTGACTTACATTGCCAGAAGGAGAGGAAGATGACAGCCTTGATGGTGAAGAACTTGAGCAGAGGGTCGTACATGGCCAGCAGGTCCTTGGTGGCGAAGTAGAAGAGGAAGAGCGCATACAGGGCCAGGCTGATGGAGATGTTGTAGATGATGGTGATGTACAGGTACCCACTGGTCGGCCTGTAATAACAGATCAGGAGGTGTTATTATAAAATATCATATAATGTTGTTTAACCTTCTCCCTGCTCCCCAACCCTGTAATGAATACAAATTTGGTGCCAAAAGGCTACTTCAACTGGGGAATGTTGAAATTCAACAAACATCTTTTACTTGAATTTTAAAGATATTCATTTCACTATGATTTTAAGACATAAGTTCCTTGTGAAACTAGTCTTAAAGTCCTCGGCGTCAAATGATGTCAACCAATACTGAAATCGTCAGAACCTTACAACACAACACAACACAACACAACACAACAAAACACAACACAGCATGGATGCAAAAAAGGCAGCTATTGTGATCAGAGTGAGAACTTACGAGAAGTTTCCGTCCTGGTAGAGGCCGAATGACTGTAGGATGATGGTGAGGATGGCCATGACAGGCTTCACAATGCAGAACTGCAGGGTGGCCTGTGGGACAGACAAGTGGGATGGACAAACGTTAGTGTGGGAACATGTGAAGCACCACAGATCATATTCATGCACAATTTTCTGCTACATTAGGTGACCAGCCATGCATGAAAACCAACATGTTTTATAAATCCACATGAATACTGCTTCCCTTCTTTCAAAAGCACACAAGAGCAATGTATTACTAAGAGAAATGACATCATAAGGCACTGCCAATTTGGTGCAACCTTTGCCGAATTCTGTTTGTAAAGAAAGAATTATTCAAAGTGGTGGTAAAAAAATAGTGGCATCCCTTTTTCAAAATACTAAGTGAATTAGTTAGGCAGAAGGCAATGGCAATTTCCTTAGTGCATGAACTCAGGTCTTTGGCCTGTGTGCCCAGGAATGAGCAGTAGGCCTAAATAAGTAAGCTATGTATGATATCCAGTTAAAAAATGCATTACAAAGGATATCATGCAGCAACTTCTGACATGTTGTTCCAAGCCCCTGATGGTCACTATGGTTACCCTACCAGATGTTCTTACCTGTTTACAGAAGCGCAAGAATCCGATGGTGTACTGTCTGCCTGCTAGGCAACATGTGCAGTAGAAAAAACTGGACCTGAGGAGACCATAAGGGGGCCATGTAAGATATGGGTTCAACCATACAAATGTACATGGGACTGACTGCAAACAACACTATGAGGTTTGTAGCATAAAAGATCTAAGAACACTCAATACTTAATTCCTAGGCACACATTGAATAAATCACAACTACAAGGTTTGCAATCTCTCCAGCTTTTCAACGAGGTTAGAGACTCTCCAGTCAATGGAATTTGTGTTTTGACGTAAGCAGCGAGCAAACTATTACATTGGCCTCAAAATGGAGGTACCTGATCATTCAGATTAAAATTCACATATAATATACTAGCCTCTGTGACCCTTGTACATACTGGTGAAATTGGTTGCACAATCACCCATTTCTCATGATGATGTTCAGTCCTTCAGGAGATACAACACGGCACAATTGCTCTATAATAACAGCATACAAGTTACCTCCAACAACTTCAGCAAAATTGCAATATCAGAATCATGACACATAGCCATCAACACTGTCTCATATCTTGCAGGGGCATATTGTACGGCTCAATTTCCTAGCTTAATGGAAACATAGCCTGACAAACTACTTATAAATCATGGCTAAGTGTACTTACTCGATAGGCTTGCCTCGTATCTCAGACATGATCTGACTCTCCCCTCCCAGGTACTCGTAACACAGGCTCAGGAAGTTGTAGATCACAAAAGCTGTATGTGGAAAACATAAGGAGAGTTACTGTTATTAGCTAGATGTAAATGCATGTTTGTAAATGAGAAGGTGCAACCATATATTTTGGGAACATACATGAACATGAACAGTAAATGTGTACCTTTAGCACTGGGAGGTGCAAAATGGTACAAAGATTTAATGGTACAAAGTAAATGAGACCTAATACATACTACATGCATATCAGCAAAATTTGCACCATAAAATAGCATTTCATGGGGTTACGTTTTGAAAATTTCAAAAGCTCCAAGGATGGTTGGGCTAAAGGCCCTCAGGGGTATAAATATCCCCCCCACACAAAATTTTGGGTTTTGTTCAAAATTTTGTAAACTAAAATACATGTGTACATCTAATCAAATCTACATTATTTTTCCTTGGGTACATTGCTTTTAGCTGCTTAATCTTATCCTTGCCAAGACAGCCTTTTGGTTTTAACTCTGCGCTGTAGGTAGAAGGTTAAGACTCAATGTACGAAGAAATCAATCCACACTGCTTGAGATTAATAGAAGGTTTTCCATTTGCCAACTGATGATGACTAGCTGTTCAATCTTTATTGCTCTGGTGCTTATTTATCTTTTTTGTCTTCAAAGGACTAGAGTTGACCTGTTCCCCATATATCTGCAGGAAGGTTTTATTCTCCCCTGTTTAAGCCCTACACGATCAATACAGCACTCAGCTGTAGGAGCTCCCGGCATGACCTCCATGGAGCGAGGGCCAATTAGTTCTGTGAAGTCTAGTGGAGGAGATCAGGCAACATTTTAATCTGGCAAGTTGATTTCTCTTTCCTGCCATGACCCTGTACCCATCCCATTTCTCAAGACCGTACCAACATACAACCCAGACACAAACAAACTCAAAGCCGCTCCAAGATATCCCAGTCACAAACAGGTCCTTGGGTGAAACTCTACCCCAAGTGGAGGGTGGGATTGGACAGCTGAACCAGCATTTTAAAGGTCTTTCTAACAAGTAAATCCTAAATGGCCCACAGCTTTTAAGTGACCTTGCAACTACTCAAACATGGCTAACTGCTAAAAGAAAACCAGGAAAACACAAATGTCAAATGTTGGGACTAAAGCAGCTTGGAACTGCTTCCTTTCAGTGCTGCTCCTGAGCCGAAGACTTAATCATGCCCCTGGGCAAAGGAGCCCTTAATCTCTTCAAGGGCCTACAGCATCAGTCTAATCTGTATGGAATACATGCACCTGTGTACAACTAAGGAGCACGGTAATTTCTTTTCATGCAGGGAATCTCGTCTTGAATCTGAAAGAAATCAATGGTGGATTTCC